ATATATATATTTACATTTGCGGAAGTAACAGGGCCCGGTGCCTCCTACCCAAGGGTTCGCCTCTGCCACAATTGATGGATTACCCCCACCCACTACAAATTTTAGAAAAGTAAATAAGCTAACTTTGTTGTTAACCGTGCCGGACCCAGAATTTTGTGCAAGCGGGTTCAATCTTAAAAGTACATAATTTTAGTCGTAAAATAATAGTTGTCAAGTGGGTTCAAATAAAATATTTATACAAAATTTATGCAGCTTTAATCTTAATTTATACATATACACAGTGTTATTTTTTGATGAAGCGGGTTCAGTTGAACCCGCTTACCACCATGTGCGTCCACCACAGGTTATTAATGTGCTCATTTTGGTGTTAAAAGCATTACATTATTGAAGAATTAACCAAATAATCGTCCACCAAACTGTTTAAACTAAAAATAGCCGGTGAAGATATTATACATGCATAATTTTATGTATTATATGTGTATAATTATATATAATCAATGTATAAACTATGCATATGGCTAAAAAAATTAAACAATGAATATGACAAACTATTTGTGTAAAAATCTCTACATTATTAACTTGCTGGCCCATTAGCAGAAGCAGACGCACACAATGGCGAAGCCACATGTTTATAACTGACCATTATTCGTCGAAAAATTGCACTGTATACATAGGTAAATTATTACATTGTAGAGGTATATAACACATATTGAACACCCTTTGTCGCAATATTTTTCACTTCTTTTAAATTTGAACACGCTTGAAAATTTTTTTAGCTACGCCACTGGACGCACATGATGAGTTGAGGGGTCACGGACACTCAGAAATTTCGGCAAAAACTCTATATGTATTTGCAAATATCTTCAATAAATAGCTAGATATTAGTATAAACGCTCGTACAATCTTTACGAACGGTGATAAATTTATATTGAATGTCATGGTACCCCACAACTGCGGATTAATCCATGATCCGCCCCTTCCCATCAGTCATATATTAACATACATGCAAGTTGTACGTCATTTTATTGCATTTTCATATTGGATTAAGTTATAGGTATTGACTCTTTCGGAATAGTATCAATCCGTTCCCAACTGTTCCAAGAGAGGAGGGAAAGTTTCTTTCCATGGCAAAGAGGTTGGATTATTAGTAGAAGCTTGCTTAATATTTAATACAGCTGTAACAACGCTTATCAAATTAGTAGATTATTCAAGAAGTCTGCCAATCTACTAAAAAATCTAATCGTTTTGATAAATATAATTTATTTTAATATACATGATATTGTAATAATAAGAGATCATTTATTCATTTTTTACATTTACTTTTACTGTACATATTAGTGATATTAATTAGATGGGCAACCGAATAAAGAACAATTGAACTATGCTACCTAGCACTATTAAATGTTTTCTACTATTCTGAATGATTTTTAAAATATCTTAGACAATAATATAAGAGCTGTATTAAAAAAATCAACAGGATTAGTCGAGCCGAATCCGAATTATTCGATCTTCAAAATTATTATCCGGAAAAGGACACTGTGTATGGTCAAAGAGATTGTTGAGGTGTAAAATCACTCATGATTGGTCCTAAAAAGACAGCGCGTGATTTTAAAGCCGCCGAAATGTTAAAAAATTAAGAGATGGGACGTACGGACACGTGTGTTTATTCCTTTATCCATAACACGACAAAATAACCAATATCCAAACATTATCCACTAAACAACTGAATGAATATTTAAAAATCGATTAAACATATCGAAATGATTTTTAAATTTTATTTAATAAAATATAAGTTTTATATAAATTTATAATCGTATCGATATATTATCTACTAAAATAAATCAAAAAAATATTGAACTGTACCGAAAATATTATATAGAAAAAATATATTTATATATTAAGTTTAAAAATAATAAATTATTAAATTTTACCTTTGACCTTGGAATTATGAAAACGGTTACAAGCTAATATGTAATTAAACTCAAAATTCTGATTCCCAAACGTATTATACTACTCCTATTAAAACTAAATTATTTTTAGCATATTCACTAGCAAGACACAAGGTATTCTAGTGATTATGAATAACAAACTATAATGTATTGAATATGTTCTTTCGTATAGTTTAAATTTATATTTTCAAATATTTAATTTTTTATAGATTTTATTCTTGAGTCCGTCTTGCTTAATATCTTTCCACTCGTATAATTTATATTTTCTTTGTCTTTGCTTGTATCTTTTACGCTGCTGTAGAATAGTTGATGGATCTATACTCTGGTCATTTTTTATATTTTTTTTAATTCATCATCCTTTAAATAGTAAAAATGTCTAGAGACTTTTGTTAAGTATTACATTAAAATACGTATATTATTGTATTTTACTTATACTAGTAACTTTTAAATAATATTTAAAAAATACAAAAAATTAATCGAACTGTACCGATATTGAAAAAAATCGACATAATTGGTATGATTTCTAAAAATTTAATTTTGATTATAGATAATAAAATAACTAAAAAAAATTTATGTGTTACAAATTTTATAAAATAACCGGCGGAACAGACTATTAACACCTTTGTTTGTAGCATCCAATTCAAACTCTTACGTGTCAATTCAACCGCCAGATTCCTCCACGTGTCACGTGGAGCACGTGACTTCAGTTAACTTCTCACCTTGAAATTACCAATTACCCACCTTCCTCCTCTGGTTTCGTAAGGTTCCAGCACGTGAGAGGATGCTCGAGTGCGTGGAATTTACTCTACACTGCTTAATAATTGTACTTCTGGTCCTTAATTAATTTAATATTCATCTTAGTCCTAATGACATTCGCGTAAGCATATGGAAAAACTTAAACAATCATTTTAAGATTTATATTTAATATTTAATGTTTCAACTGTTTTCACAAATCACAGACAAACGTCACTTTAATTATCAATTAAGTAAACTATAGACGCAATGCTTTTGTAAAAGAAACTTGTAATATTTAAACTATTTTTCTAATCATCTCTAGAAATATGAAGTAAATTTACAAACGTAGCACAATACATAAAAATTAATTTTATTATTATTTAGAAAGGGACATAAAATAAACAATTTAATTAACTGAATGCAAAATACTCCCGTATAATCAAATATCTTAGTGGCTAAATCAAATATACTAAGAATTGAGGGACTAAAATGATAATTGTTACCAAAATAAAAGAAAAAGTGAGCTGATTGTCAGGAAGTAGCCAAAACAAACATTGATTTCTCTTTCAAATCAAGCGTGACTTTCACTGGAATTTTCCAAGTCGACTCAGCACGGCTCTGATATTTTTGGTGTTTGTCGCACTCACTCAATCTGAAATTTTTTGTCTTTTTTTTATGGCTCAATTGATGAAAATCGCCAAAACGCCGCCGGAGTTGCGGTGGCAGAGGGGGAAAATGTTGCCGGTAAAGAGGGAAGTGGAGCTTGAAACCTCTTCGGATGAAGAACTCTGTCCACTCAACAAGCGATCCAAACTCTACTACTCTCTGCAAGTCAGCTCCTTTCTCTTTCTGTCTTTCAGTTTGTTCGATTCCACAAGCGTGAAGTTATAAACAATATAGAATATTTTGCATATTCTCAAAATATGAGCTGATTAATATTTTCTGTTTTACTTTCAAAGTGATGCTTCTTTCTGATCCGCAGAACTTTTGTGCCTTTTTGCTGTTTTAATTCTCAATAATACTGGTATTTGTGTTTTTTGTTCGTTGTGCATCTTGTTATTTACTAGCATATGCTCTGAGTTTGACTACATACGGTGTTTATGATGTTAATTGGAATTTTTGTATTATATTAGGTCTTGTGTAAGCGAATGTCAAAGTAATGATTGAAATGTTAGTTTTATAGTGAAAACATCTCATCTTACAGTTATTATCTGCTAATATATGCTCTGTGTTTGACTATACGGCGAGTTTATGATGTTAGTTGTATTAGTTGTGTAAAAAAGATTCAAAGTAATGTTTGAAAATGTCAGTTTTATACTGAAAACATCTCATGGAAATTTAAAATTTGAGTTGTTAAATGTATTTGAATTATTGAAAATTGGATAGATAATACTATTAATTGAATTGCATCAAACATTTGGGACTTTCCAAAATGGAAGTGCTTGGTATCAATTGAAGCAAGGAATATAAATAACCAATTTAGAAACATTTGTAGGAGAATGATCATTTACCAAATCCATGAATAGGAAGTTGACTTATCATTATTGATGCCTTGATACTGCTTAGAGAGATACCGGAGAAGTTATGCCTATTATTATCTTCTCTGAGGTTTGAATCAAGGATATTTTGCAGCAGCAACTGGGTGTAGGAGGTGGTGGTTTTCCAGTTTCACCATTGCAAGACGGCCCTCTAGATGAGCCCAGTCCGTTAGGTCTGCGGCTAAGAAAGAGCCCCTCACTGCTGGATTTGATCCAGATGAGGCTTTCTCAGGGGAGCACCTCCAAGGTGGGAAGTCATGGAAAGAAGGAGCAAAAAGGAAGCACCGGAATGACTGAAAAACTCAAGGCCTCGAACTTTCCTGCTTCAGTTTTGAGAATTGGGAGCTGGGAGGTATACTTAGTTTCGCTTTTGAAAATGATTTGTAAATAATGCTCAGTCTTAATGTTCAAATAATGAATGGAATTTTGTTGTGTCNCAGTCTTAAGGTTCCAAATATGAATGGAATTTTGTTGTGTCTACAGTATAAGTCAAGATATGAAGGCGATTTGGTCGCAAAATGTTACTTTGCCAAGCATAAACTTGTTTGGGAAGTCCTTGATGGTGGTCTCAAGAATAAGATAGAGATCCAGTGGTCTGATATTATGGGTTTGAAAGCAAACTACCCAGATGATGCGCCGGGAACCTTGGATGTAGTGGTAAGGGGTAATTAGCATCTTAATTTGCTATTGTCTTTGTGGAGTTATTTCCTTTACTGCATTTGCAGAATAGGCTCCAATGTTGCTCTGCTTGTTACCTTAGTTGATGAGGTGTTATGGATCCTTGTATTGCAGCTGGCAAGACAACCTCTTTTCTTTAGGGAGACAAATCCGCAACCCAGAAAGCACACTCTTTGGCAAGCAACATCAGATTTTACCGAAGGACAGGCTAGCGTACACAGGTCTAATAACTATTATCCTGTAGTTCCCTTTTTCCCCCTCATAAATCACTATTACACCGTGGTTAGTTGTTTGCCAATTTTATCGTGTTACCTTGACATCTCTGTGGACATCTGATTGTCTGGTCACTTTGTGGCTATTGAAGGGATTTTATTTATTTATTCATATGATAAGTTGTGGCCTTATTAGGTTCCTCTAGCAAGTAACAACTATCGATATGGACAAGGCCATGCATTTTCCTTATTTGGACTAATGGTTTGGTATGGGGGTTTATAAAAGGATGGGAAGAGTACATTATTCACATAGAAACTCTTATCTTTTCCAGGATTAGTTCATTTTATGAGTTCATTTTTGGTTAGGAGAGGCGAGACAGAAACTTGCTATTCAGGATTACGTGTCGTTGTAGAGGCGAGAGAGGCAATAGTAGAAAGATTAGGTAGAGTGGGTTGCTCGTGGACTCAATTTAGATGAACAATGGTTTATGGTTCTCCTTGGTGCCTAACTTAACTGGAAGAGCATTTCAATATAGCAATAGCTCAAGTGGCAAAGGGTGGTGGATTTGTGTCTTAGGTCACAGGTTCAAGCCCCCACACCATGCAAAGCAAAGCCTGGTATTTAAGTGGAGAAGGGTAGAGGGGCGGGCCCATTATCCACCGAGTTTCGAAGGCTGCGGTTGGTCCAAAGGATCGGCCCCAGATGGATTTCTCGGTCATCAAAAAAAAAATATAGCAACCGAATGGAATGTCTCAGTAGATGCAGTTTCGAGTCTCAAAAGCTCAACTAGGTTTCCCAATTTCAGTTTAATCTGTAGTAAGAATTTAACATGAAAGCCTGCAATTAATATTAATGAAGGGTTTTGGTACCATGTTGCACCTGTAGTAGCTTTTGTATTGTATCACAGTGATTGCAGGTATTATAATTACAGGTAGTGCTGGTTGTAGGCTGCTTTGGACTGTTCAGAATTTCTAGCATTTCTTTGCTTTGTCTTAATGTGGTTCAGTTTTGACTTTAAAATACTATAAATCTGCTTTGGTTGCAGGCGACATTACTTACAGTGTCCGCAAGGCTTGTTAGGAAAACATTTTGAAAAGCTTATGCAGTGTGATCCTCGTCTTAACTTCCTGAGTCAACAAGCAGAGATAACATTAGATTCTCCTTATTTTGAGTCCCGGATATGTGTATTTGAAGACCCACATGTAACTGGCCGTGAATTTGATCTGAATGATGAGGGAAGTCCAAATTTTCTCGACTTGCAAAGTGCCGCTTCACCTTCAAGAGCTCGTAGTTCTTCCTCCAAAAGTCAGCAAGATCCTGTTGGTAGACCTTTGGAATGTATTCACCAAGAGAAGCCATCCCCAAGCTCAGGTAAATATGTCAATTTATTTGAGAAGTGCATTAAATTAAGTTGAGTTCTCTACTGAGAATGTCTTTTAAGACGTCATTATAGTTATTCTTTTTTGGGCAGCTTGGTTGATGATAATCATCCCTCACCTCCCACCTTTCTGACAGAGTGGAAAATTGATTGTAGTTTCGTTTTTAAGGGGTGGAGAGGAAGTTTGCTGCCCATTGCTTTGCTTTTATTATAGTCCTATCTTGCTGGTACTGTTGTGTGTTACTTCAACCTAATCACAATGAGGAGGTAATCTCTGTTCAAAAAGAGCAATATGAACATATTGCACAATTGGGTCTGTGGACATGTTTTCCTATGTTGAGGTTTATTGTTCTCAACAACTCTATGGTCAATTCAAGTGATCAGTACTAGGTTCTTATTGCTATCAGAATGTATAATGTTATAGTTGGTGTGCCGTTTTTCTTGGATTTGGTTTGGGTTGCTGTAACTTTACATTTAATATGCCGTTATTGATACAGGGGCAACTGAAGATCTTAAGAGTAGGGAAGTGGAGCAACGGAAAGGGCTTAGTAACCTCAATCAACTCAGAGTGCCTGGAAAGAATCCCTCCGTGTCAATGAGTGATTTGGTGAGCCATCTTGAGCAACGTGTATCAGAGCAGAAGACATCTAAAGGTATCAACCTTGCCTGTGATGAACGGCAAAGCTTGGAGATCCTGGAAGAGATCTCCAAGTCCTTGCTTAGTGACACTCAAAATGTGACAGCATCAGATGAGAAATCTCTTATGTCAAGGGTCAATTCTCTGTGCTGCCTCCTTCAAAAGGATCCCGCAACAGCTCAAAAGGGCGAGAACTGTGGTGTTGTTGTGCCGGGTGAAAAAAGAGTGAATGAATTAAATTTCATTCCCACAGCACCGTTTGGAAGAGAAGTTGAAGAAGATCCTTCTACGTCAGACAATGAATCAAATGATCTCTCCAGTTGTAAGCCAGCTCCAACAATGTCAAGAAAGGACTCGGTTGGGGATCTGTTGCTCAATCTTCCAAGGATAGCATCACTGCCCCAGTTTTTGTTCATCTGTGAAGACTCTGGTAACCAAGCTAGATAGTTTTTGCTCAAGTCACATTAGATAATCGTAAAAAAGGATGGCTGTAGTTCTATTGTATATATCAAAAGTAGGTTAGCCAACAGTGTGTTCAGTTTAGGATTGGATCTTGGATATACCATTTTAGGACTGTCCATGTATAGAATGTATTCGTGCCTTTGTATCGAAAGTTAGTGCTGTGCATGTTTTCCAATCTTCCTGTTTGACACCGCTGCATTAGTTTGCTACAGAAAATGCAGGGAACATTATATTCAGGTCTTACCCAGACAACACAGGATAAATCATGAGATAAGGACGGCATAGGACAAGATTTTAACAGAAAACCGAACACTGGTGAGGTTTAAGATTCCCTGTAAGTTTTTAACAAGAGATAGATTAGTATCAATTCTTTGTTTTCCTCCAAATAAACATTCCATAGCTAAATTCTTTTTGAATCATTATTCAGAGTTTCTGATTAACTGAACATGAAAGTGCCAATTATAGCTGTATAGGAGTTGGGTTTAGAGTAGATGATAAACATAACCAAACGAAAAAAAAACACAGAGAGAATTGCACAAGTATATCAGTGCACACTGCAGACCAGCCTTTCCCCCCCTTCATTCTACTAATTGATTCCGTTAGTTATCCATGATATTGATATTCGACTTTAAAAAATAATATGGATAGGATGAAGTGATGGGACATGTTCTTTTCTAATAATACATGCACATGTGAAACGTGAACTATAATGGTGGGGAGAGGCAGAAATTCATACTCTCTAATAGTGTGGGGCAAGCTTTTAAAATCAGTTTATTTTAAAAAATATTTTTTTCAAAAGTACTTTTGGTGTTTGATAGAAACTAGGAGTCCACCAAACTGTATCCTCTATCTGTTTCCACAGTAAATCGGCAGTAAATAAAGAACACACGATATTTACGTGGAAAACTCCTTGCTCAAGGGATTAAGAGCCACGACCTACCCTAGTAGGATTTTAACTCCACTAAACCGAGCAAACTTCAAATTACAACATATTGCAATCTAGGAATTAAGCTCTTAATCCCTCACCCCTTACAATAACTCTATTGTAAGCCCTTTGCAATAACTTTATTACAAAGCAACAAACCTTGACTAACTCTAGTCAAGAAACTAAATCAAGCAGTGGTTTAAATATGTCCTACAAAGACACTTCTTGAAAGTAGTGTAGGATTACAAATTAAGAACAAAATAACAAAGACTTAACAAACCTAAGGACTTTGTTCTTGAGAGAAGTGGTGGCTAGCACGTGAATGAATATGATTTTTGGATTTGCAAGTGTTGGAAAAAATAATCTCTTGCCTCGTGTTGATAATATGTGTGTGTGAGGTTATCAAAGACGATGCAATAAAGCGTCCTTTAGTTTGGCCTTAGCAAGCTACAGCTGTGTTGTTGTACTGCTGTCAGACGGTACAGTGCAACAGCTTTTACAACTGTAGAGTTGACTGCATGACGACCAGGGGAACTGATCCCTATCTCTTCCCTTTGTTGTTCCCTTATCTAATTTCATTCAGAATTGAACCAGACATCTGACTAGTTACTCTGAACGTAAGGAACTAATTGTATCAGGTTCCTTATTTGGTTCTCTTATGAAGTTTGTCAAATCATCAAAACAAAAGACGCATATGATAAGTTGGCTTTTTAGCCAATGTCTCTTGTGTTTTTATACGATTTTATGCCCCATTTATTGGAAAAAAGTGACTAATTATGCTTTGAATGGCTCGATTTCAGGTAATGAAGCTTTGACTACGCTTAAAGAATGAAAAGGAATAAAAAAATATCAAGAAACGACCAAGTCCAAGTGAAAAATGGAAGAAAAGTTTGAAGTTTGAGCGGAAGACCATGCGTAGCCTTGCGCATGCAAACTTGCGTAGGCTACGTAGAGGTGGACCTGAGAAGTAAATCTTTAAGGACATTCTATTTTTGCCTACGCAAACCTGCGTAGGCTACACAGATATCCTACGCAGAGAAAAAAAAGCTGAAGTGTTCAAACTTGCGTAGGCTACGCAATTAACCTACACCCATGCATCCAGCCTACGCAATTGACCGAAGGGCAATTTTGTCCAGTCGTGGGGCTTAGTATAAATAGCTATCTTAAGTCATTCTAGGGTATCTCTTTGGCAAGGAGACTTGTGTAGCAGCTGTTGGGGATTTCTTCTTGAGTAATTTGGGTGACTTCACTATTGTTCTACACAATCTTTCTTTCCTCTTTAGCTATTATGTTTAGTTTTTCATCTCTTTTTGTATTCTCCTTTCTTAATATGTCTAGCTAAGTTTATTAAGCTAGAATTGTGAACCCTAAGTGTGGTTATATTTTTGGATTATTAATATAAATTCAAATTTTGATTAAGCTTTGTATTATCCAATTACTCCATACTTTATTGATTAATTTTGTGATTTCAAACACTAAATCCATGCCTATTTTGCGTGTTCTAGCTTGTAAGAGTAGAACTTAGCTTAAGTATAAAGTAATTAGCAAGAAATTAAGTGGGTTAACCATTTGATTAACGAAATCTAGCTAGGTTAGTGTGATTTCTGCTTGGACTAATCAATTACTTATCATTGAGCCTTAGTTGTCTTGGAAGAGCAACTTGGGGTAGAAGCCTCTTAAGTGTTGAAGACATTAAGTTGGTAGAATAGAAATTGAGGTCATAACACATGCTTAATTAACTAGAATTGACGATTTGTATACCCAAAAGCATAGCCTACACGAGGGGGAAGCAATCCTAGAGCCTTTCTCTTATTTTGTATAACTACATCTTATTTGCACTCTACGTGTTTGATAGAATTCCTTAGTTAAACTTTAGTAGTAATTGTAGACATAATTGAACAACCATATTTTGTTTGAAGATTACATTAAGAATCATCGAGTTTGCACGCATTTGGACACTCTAACACACACCTACTCCTTGTGGGATTCGACCCCAACCTTTGTTGGGTTTATTATTTCTAACGACCGTGCTACTTTCATATAGAGAGTAGGATTGGACGTCATCAATTTTTGGCGTCGTTGCCGGGGATTACGGTGTTCTTGTGTTACTTTATTTTTGTGTGTTTTCTTGAGTTCGTATCTTTTCTTCGTGATACTTTGTTTTGTGTGTGCTTGTTGTAGGTTACCAATGACGAACAACAATAACCTTGGTGATTTGCCTCTTAGGGTCATTGATGAAGATATAGTAGATGAAGAAGCGGCTTCGGTTCAAGGAAATCGGCGTGGTCGAGGTCAAAACCAACACCAACCTCCGCCGTATCCACCACATTCATATGGCTAACCGGCTCAAGAACATGCCGCACTAAATGATGGTTATGCAAGTGCAATTTTTCCCCCTAGCATTAGGGCAAAAAATTTTCAAATTACAAATGTCATGCTCACCTTGCTTGAGCAAAGAGGCTACTTCATCGGAGCACCTCATCAAAATGCATACAAGCACTTAGAGGGATTCGTAGATGCTTGTTGGGGAAGTAAACAAACAAATGTGTCTGAGGACACTTTGAAGTTGAAGTTATTTCCTTTCTACCTAAGAGGAAAATCCTTGGATTGGTTGGAGCGCTTACCAAACCATTCTATCCATACTTGGGATGAGTTGGCGGAGAAGTTTATTACCACATTCTTCTCACCCGAGCACATGGCTACATTGAGGGATGAAATCTTGGCATTCAAGCAAGAACCGAATAAGCCACTTCATGAAATTTGGGGACGCTATTGTCACGACCCAAAAATCCTACTAGTCGTGATGGCACCTAACCCAAACCGTTAGGTAAGCCAATTTCCAACTATCCAATTCCAATAAAATTAATTAAAAAAAAATATCTAAAACCGATACATCTCCCCAAGAACTGATAGTACAAATCATGAGCTTCTAAGAATAAAGNAGTATACAAAGCGGAAATGAAATAAATACATAGTCTGTTTGAATAATACATAAACAGAGCTTTTATAAATCTAAGGCTATCCTGAACAAGAGGCAGCTACAATAGGAACGCAGATACATCTTCAAGTCCCGCAACCAGCGAGCACAGCAACAACAGCAGCCAACATCTGCACGCAAT